CACATGGTTGCTGTTGTATGATACATTCTCACATGGTTGCTGTTGTATGATACATTCTCCCATAGTTGCTGTTGCATGATACATTCTCACATGGTTGCTGTTGTATGATACATTCTCACATGGTTGCTGTTGTATGATACATTCTCCCATAGTTGCTGTTGTATGATACATTCTCACATGGTTGCTGTTGTATGATACATTCTCACATGGTTGCTGTTGTATGATACATTCTCCCATAGTTGCTGTTGTATGATACATTCTCCCATAGTTGCTGTTGTATGATACATTCTCCCATGGTTGCTGTTGTATGATACATTCTCCCATGGTTGCTGTTGTATGATACATTCTCCCATGGTTGCTGTTGTATGATACATTCTCCCATGGTTGCTGTTGTATGATACATTCTCCCATGGTTGCTGTTGTATGATACATTCTCACATGGTTACTGCTGTATGATACATTCTCCCATGGTTGCTGTTGTAGGATACATTCTCCCATGGTTGCTGTTGTAGGATACATTCTCTCATTTACCTGGAGTCACATCTAGAGGTCACCGCCCCTGCGGCCCGGTCCCAGACGAGGCCTCCTGGTTGCTGGCCTGATCGATTGAGCTGTTAGCGCTTGCTGCCTACAGTCCAACGTATGCACCACAATCCGGCTAATCAGCAACATTTTTAGGAATGTGTCTAGTTTCCCCACGAGCAGAGCTAGGTGTTTGTTGGTAATCCCTCTTATACATGAACGTAGGGTGTTGAAGACTCGGGGTCCCTTAACACATTGATTACTGTGTACTCATCGCTAACCATCTTTTAAACCTGTAGCATCCACCATGCCTATTGTGTTCATAAGTAGTAATTTCGATGTGCAGTTTGGTACTAATCCTTTCATTATGTTTCATGTGTGGTTTATGTATCTTCATCGCTTATGTTCTAAGGAGTACAGTTCTAGGGACTTAAGTGCTCCTAGTAATTTAGGTGTTTGACTTTGCGAGTAGTGACGGTTCTCTGTACTTTTTCCAGCTGTATAAATTCGTCTGCCTTGAAGGTGGCTGTTACTACAGAACAATATTCCAGACTAGAGAGAACGAGTGACCTGATGAGTCATCATTGGAGTTTCCTTCCAATATTTTGAAGGTTCTAGTTATCCAACCTATCAGTTTTCTTGTGGCTGCAACAGTAACGTTTTTGTTGTGCCTCTTGAACATGAGATCATGTGACATTATCCCTCCCAGGTCTCCCTTCTGACTTACGTTCTGCTGATTGGTTTAAATGTCTTCATTCTTACATGGAGAAATAACTGAAATTTGTACTCACTGAACATCATTGTTGTTAGTGATCTTCTGGATGACTTGTTTTAAATCAACCTGGAGACTGTGTCTTCTGAGGATAACATTTTCATATAGATTCTAGTATCGTCTACAAAGGATGATACAGTGCTATAATTTATGTCCCTCTCTTTATCAGAAAGGAGAATGAGGAAGAGAAGTGGGGCGAGTACCGTGCCTTGGCGGACAAAATTTTTCACTTTAGCAGCCCCTGTTTCACTCTGTTTACTATTACTCGCTGAATACTGTTTGTGAGGAAGTTAGAAATCCATCTGCCCAACTTTCCAGTTATCCCCTTTTCTTGTATTGTGTGTGCAGTTACACCATGGTCACACATATTGTGTGTGCAGTTACACCATGGTCACTAGTGTATACTACATCTGCATTTTGACTATTTTCAAGAGCATCCAAGATCATGTCGTATTTGTCCAGCAATTGCGAAAGGAAAGAGCGATTTGTTCTGACCCCATGTTGACCTGGATTGTGAACCCATGTTGACCTGGGTTGTGAACCCATGTTGACCTGGGTTGTGAACCCATGTGACCTGGGTTGTGAACCCATGTTGACCTGGGTTGTGAACCCATGTTGACCTGGGTTGTGAACCCATGTTGACCTGGGTTGTGAACCCATGTTGACCTGGGTTGTGAACCCATGTTGACCTGGGTTGTGAACCCATGTTGACCTGGGTTGTGAACCCATGTTGACCTGGGTTGTGAACCCATGTTGACCTGGGTTGTGAACCCATGTTGACCTGGGTTGTGAACCCATGTTGACCTGGGTTGTGAACCCATGTTGACCTGGGTTGTGAACCCACGTTGACCTGGGTTGTGAACCCACGTTGACCTGGGTTGTGAACCCACGTTGACCTGGGTTGTGAACCCACGTTGACCTGGGGTTTTGAGCCCACGTTGACCTGGGTTGTGAGCCCACGTTGACCTGGGTTGTGAGCCCACGTTGACCTGGGTTTGTGAGCCCACGTTGACCTGGGTTGTGAGCCCACGTTGACCTGGGTTGTGAGCCCACGTTGACCTGGGTTGTGAGCCCACGTTGACCTGGGTTGTGAGCCCACGTTGACCTGGGTTGTGGACCCACGTTGACCTGGGTTGTGAACCCACGTTGACCTGGGTTGTGTAACTTCTGCGATTCCCTGTGATTGGTTATCTTGCTACTTAAAACTCTTCCAAGATTTTGATATGAGATGTTAAGGCTATTGGTCTATATATTTTACCATTATTTTTACTACCACTTTCGTAGAGTGGGGCAATATTAGTGGTTTTTAATTAATGACTGTGGGATGACTCCAGTGTCCAGGCTTCTGGACAGAATATTTATGGCACGTGATAAAGGTTTCTTGCAAATCTTGGTGAAAATTGAATTCGAGTTAGGGCCTGGGACAGAGTGCTTGGGCATGTAATCACTGTGTTCTTCGAAGTCAAGTAGGGTTAGTTACACCAGTGATTAGGGAGACGTCTGCATCATTGTCTTATCATTTGGGTTATTAATCAATCAGAAGACCGATTAGTCAGTGGCTCACTGAACACTAAGTTGTACGCCCGATATTAGATGGTGTTTTTTTCACCTGGATTTTGCAAATGAATTATTTTGGAATTTATTCTGAGGTTCACTGATGGCTTTTAACTCTGTCCCTCTGGACTCTCTCTGACGTATTAAATTTGAGCTTAGCGTTGCTACTGTTGTGCGATACATTCTCCCATGGTTGCTACTGTTGTGTGATACATTCTCCCATGGTTGGTACTGTTGTGTGATACATTCTCCCATGGTTGCTACTGTTGTGTGATACATTCTCCCATGGTTGCTACTGTTGTGTGATACATTCTTCCACGGTTGGTACTGTTGTGTGATACATTCTCTGTTGGACGCTACTTTTGTGTGAAATATTCACCCATTGCTGCTGCAGTTGCTCATACATGCTTCCATTGCGTGTGCAGTTGTTGATACATGCTTCCGTTTCTTCTGCAGCTGATACATCTCTTGTGGCGGCAGTTGTGGGTACATGCTTTCTTAGCTGCTGCAGCTACTGACATATTTTCCTAGTTGCTGTAGCTATTGATACATTATTTCCTGGCTACTGCAGTTGCTGATACATGTATCGCTAGTAGCTGTAGTTGTTAAAGGCTTCTCTTGTTGCTGCATTTGTTGCTACATTATATTCTTTCCGTTATAGTTGTTAATACATGCTTCTTTGGGTGTTGCAGTTGTTGATACATACTTCCTTGGTAATTGTAGTTGCTTATACTACTAAGCTGGCTGCTGTAGTTGTTGATACATGCATCCCTGGCTGATGTAGTTGTTGATACATGCATCCCTGGCTGATGTAGTTGTTGATACATGCATCCCTGGCTGATGTAGTTGTTGATACATGCATCCCTGGCTGATGTTGTTGATACATGCATCCCTGGCTGATGTAGTTGCTGATACATTCTTCCCTGGCTGATGTAGTTGCTGATACATTCTTCCCTGGCTGCTGCAGTGGTTGATACATGTTTCTTTGGTTGCTGCAGTTGATGATACCTGCTTCTTTGGCTTTTTTAGTTGCTGATACACGCTGCTCTGGTTGCTGCAGTTGCTATCTTTTTACACGTCTTTCCTGTCACATTGTCCGTCTGTCCACCTGTCTTTTTCATGGTTTTGTTCGTCTCCTTACAATAATCACACAAATTAGACTTGTAACTGGATTTTTTTTTTTTTTTTTGGGGGGCTATCTTAGAGTATTTTTTTTCCAGCCATGCCACTGTTATTTTTATTGACCTGTCTGTGTTTTTCTTTGTGTGTGAGCGTCGTTCTCGTGTAAAGTTTGTGAGGAGTTTTCCTGCCTATTACGTTGTCGCTTTAGACAAAATATATTTAGCAGAGACTGTACATGATGTGACTCGTGTTGTGATGCAGTTCCTTCACACTTAGTTGCCTCTCTCTCCCCTTACCTTCTTTTTTTTCTTTAGCGTTAAAACAGCGTGTATATCAAACGTCTGTAAATTAAGTCTGTGTCCGATAATATCTCGTGTAAATGTAGCCTCTCCCAGCACGTCTGTTTTTGTCCTAGCTTCTCTGTCTACCTCTTCACTTTTCTATTTACATCGGTTTACCTTCCTGCTTGTGTCACATGTCTGTAAACCTCTCAGCGTCCTGTGCTTGTTCTTTGCTTGCCTCGTGATATCTTTTACCTTCGTACTCGCATCTTAATGCCAGTAACTTTAGTGTTTATCTTGTCACATGGTTTTACTTTCACTTTAGTATCCCAATCTTCCTGCTTGTATCAGTCATTCAGTCTGCCTGCTTGCTTCACAGTCATTCAGTCTGCCTGCTTGCTTCACAGTCATTCAGTCTGCCTGCTTGCTTCACAGTCATTCAGTCTGCCTGCTTGCTTCACAGTCATTCAGTCTGCCTGCTTGCGTCACAGTCATTGTCTGCCTGCTTGCTTCAGTCACTCAGTCTGCCTGCTTGCGTCAGTCATTCTACCTTCCTACCTGCATATAAAATTTTGCCCTCCTGTTCACACGGTCTTCTCCGTCACAGTTGTATCACCTAGCATCTTGCTAGCTACTAAAACCCCAGCAGTGTTTGTTGCTATCAATATATCCCTGCTTCCCTCTGTTTCTTCCTAGGTGTTAGTCCCTTTTGCGTGAGTATATACGCGTGCATGAGAATATAAGTGTGCCTGAATACTTAAGCGTGCGTGAGTGGGTGCGGGCGTGCGTGAGCGTGCGTGTGACAGCACCTGGTGAGTGTAGCAGAAGTCCGCGTGGTCGGCACAGCAGCACCAGACTGACTGAGTGCCAAGTAGTGCCGATACCCTGTCCCGCCCACCCTGCCAACCTGCCCTACCACCCTGTCCCGCCCCTCTCGCCCGCCACCTGCCAGGCGCAGTTCGCCCGCCTGCCTACCACCTGTCTCGCCCACCCGCCAGTTTGCCACGCGTTCTGCCACGTCCACCCACATACTACCAGCCCAACCCACACCCACCCGCTTACCACCTGCCCAGCTCCGCCCATCGGCCACCTGTCCTTCCTATCGTTCGCCATCTGCCCCGCCCACCATCTGCCCCACCACCAGCTGTGGTTGTATTTATCACAGTGGCTGACTCACGGTTCAGTGTTGCAGCCCGGGTCCAGCAGCCTCTCCGTGCAACAGTCTTGCATACGACCATCGTGGTCCTCGAAGCTGCATCTACCGTGATGAGTGTTCATGATCTGTTGTATCAACGAAAGTAATTTTCAGCTTTGGTATTGGTGTAGTTGGTTTTAATAAATCTAAAATATATGTAGTTTTACCAGTGCATCCAGGAAAACAAGAGGTTGTAAAGCAAAGAAAATACTGCGACTCTACATGAATGGTATGCAATACCAACGAGATGAAAATTAGACATATGCAACATCTGGATATGTTTATTGTAGACGTTTCGCCATCCATTGGCTTTATCAATACAAATTCCAGGACATAATTTGAAGACAGAACTAAATACAAAAGATGAGGTAATCAGTCCCTCAGGCTTGGCGGTGGTGAGAAGACCACCGTAGTCTTCACCATCACCAAGGCTGAGGGACTCATTACCACATCTTCTGTATATAATTACATTGTCTTTCATTTATGTACTAGAATTTGTATTGATAAAGCCACTGGATGGCGAAGCGTCTACAATAAATATACCCAGATGTTGCATATGTCTAATTTTTATACTGCGACTGGCTGGAATTTGAACCCCGGTCATTTAGGCAGTCTCCTGGGAAGCTAGTTAAACTGTGGACGCCCTAGACCACACCACCACCACCACCATGCCACAAGATGTTAAATGTCCAGTGAGAACACCAGACATGTTTCCATCTAACGACGGGAACATTCGGGGAGTGGTAAACTCGTTAATAATTTCATGTAGTATGGTGGTGTAGTGGTCTAGAGTGAGGAAAGTTTAGCTAATTTCCCATGAGGCTGCCTAGACGACTCGGGTTCAAATCCCGGCCAGTCTTGCCAGAGGCACACCGATACTACAGCTCAGATGTCCCTCCAAACTGCAATTTTCCCCACCCCACCTTCAGAGTGCAGGCCCTGTATTTTCTGCCTCCAGGACTCGAGTCCGGCTAACCAGCTTTTCTGAATCCCTTCATATATGTGACCTTGGTCATACATAAATACCACGTCAAATTAAAAAAAAAAATAAAATCGTTAACACTCCTAATACACACGGACAAGCCTAGTGGATGTTCAAGCCCCTCGCACATAAAGCCTTCTTTTGGCTTTCTCTCCAACCCTTACCCGCCCTCCCTTCACTACAAATTTATACACCCTCCAAGTCGTTCTATTTTACTTCACCTTTCTAAATGTCCAAACCACCTCAATAACCTCTCCTTAGCCCTCTGGATAATACTTTAGAAACCCCGAACCTCCTAATCTCCAAGCTATGAATTCTCTGAATAATATTCACACCACACATTGCCCTCAGACACATCATCATCTCTGCCTCCAGCCTCCTCGCTCCAACTTTCACACCTATGTAAGACCATTGGTACCCTCTATACTTTCATTAAATTTCAAGCATGGAAATTGCCTCGTGAATCTTGCGCAAAATACTTTAAAATAACTTTGAAATTTTGAAGCAGATTTAATAAGGCATCCTTGAGAAATAAGTGAAAATTTGTGATAGAGCAAATAAAATGTCGCTTAAAAAATATTCCGATGAACAGGAAAGTCTTCCCTCGTTAAACGTGAACATGCTATATATATTAGAATTTTTATTTCCTTTCCAGATTTCTTTTCACATTTCCATTCCATTTAAAATTCTCTACAGTCCGGATTTTTTTCTTAAAAACCCAATTCGATAAAATTAGAAAAAATGACAAACTGGAATAAAAGCTAAACAATATTTTATACAAAAACGTCAAGTGCATCAATATAGTTCACTTTTACTCTCTAACGTCATCGATTTTTTGGAGCTTTTTGTGAACGTCTGAAGCTCCGCCACTGAGGATTTTGGAAGCTATCCGAGGCATTCCAGGATGCTGGGAATGTGTTCAATAATTTTGGTCATAGGAAGCGTGAACATGTTAATTGTTCCTTGAATTTGATCCTTGTTAACGTATACAAGTGTTAAAATTTTGAACCTTAACTGGATGAGGCGTTCTTGAGGTATACCCAAAATAAAATCGGGAGGTAGGAGAATAAACTCAGGCGGTTTCTTATAGGTACACCTTCGGGGATACCTAAAAATTTTCAAATTGAAGTTGAATATCAGCATATTACCTTTTTCGGAAGTTAATCTGTTGCTATGAAGAGAGATGTTCCTCCAGTTCTTCACTCTTCTTTGAACAGAAAGTTGAACTCAGATACTGGCTAGATTTGCCCAAGATGGAAGAACTATCATTTGTGTGTGTGTGTGTGTGTATACTCAGCTTCTGGCTCCGCCTCTTCACTGGTCACTATTAGGTCCACTCTCTCCCGGCTTCAAGAGCCTTGTTGTACCTCTGCTTAAAGCTTTGTATGGAACCCGCCTCTACTACTACACTTTCCAGATTGTTCCATTTCTTGGCAAAGGCCGAAGAAATAGTTCCTGACATCCCTACGATTCATCTGAGTTTTTATCTTTCAGTTGTCTTTTTTTTTTCTATTTCCCATCTCTAAAAGATTGTCTTAGTTAACCTTCAATATTTTATGCGGCGTTATCATATCATTACACTTTTCCTTCCCCTCTCCGGTTCCCCTGTCCTAAAATGTAATCGGGTTGTTTCCCTAACCTCCCCTTGTAGGACATACCCCTTAGCTCCAAGACTGCTCTTGTTGCAAACATCTGCACTGTCTTGAATTACTACGTGTGCTTGATTATGTGTTTCATACTGGTGGGATGTACTCCAATATGGTTCTCACGTACACGGTATTATGGATAACTCATTAGAAGTCGAAACGCTGTTGTTAAATTTGCCAGACGCGCATTTGTTGCAGCAGTTATTGGGTTGATGCCCGCCTCAGGGGATATGCTCGGTATGATAGTCACCACAAGGTCCTTCTCCTTGAGCGAGGTTTACAGCCTTTGATACCCAAGGGGATCCCTTTGATCCCCTATCTGCGGTCTTCTTTGTCCTTCCCAAAGCTTCATAACTTTGCACTTGGTGGGGGTTAAACTCCAGGAAGCATTAGTCAGACCAGGCCTGTAGCCTGTCCAGAAGTCTTTGGAGCATTGTTTCTTGTCTGGGTGTACTCTCATTATTTTCACATCGTCTACGAACATGGATACCTCTGACAATATCCATTGTCATGTCATTTAAGTAAC